GTTGGAAACATTTAAAACCTCTCGATTAGCTGTTTTAAGGGTTCTGTTTAACTGTTAACTATAACAAACTGCTGCTAGATCTCATTGTAGTGTCTTTGTCAGGAACTTGACTTTTGTCAGGAACTTGATTCACAGACTTGGCTAGTAATTAATTAAGTGCCTAAAAATGTAAAAGAATGTGTTTATGAAAAACATGCCATTACACTTTTAATTTCTGCCCTATTAAGTCCAGATATTTAAATTGAGAAACAAAGACCTAACTCAAAGATTTTTGATCGTGGCTTTATTAATATTTTGGATAGGCTAATCTTTTGTGGAAACTGACCTGTACATTAAAAGATGTTTAGCAACATCCTCGGCCTCTACCCAATAGATACCGGTGGTGATACTCCCTCCCAGGTTGTGATTTTTTAAAATTATTATACACATCAAGGCAATCTGGAGGCATAGCTTGCATCCACTTGATAAATACTCATCTCATTGTTTTTTTCTTACGACACAAAGGAATGTTTCTTACCTGACCAGTTATACTGCCCTAAAACCCTATAATTTGAACTAGGAACATAAATAACTAATGAGAGATTAAATAAAATATATTTATTATCAATGAAAAATACAAGATTATCCTCTAGAAATAGCAAATATTTATGTAAAATTAAATTTGGATAAATACTAATGCTATATTAGTATATTTCTAACCAATAATGCTTATTAAATATAAAGAGATGTGTCTGGTAGCAATTAAATTGGCTTAATATCTGGCACATGTGTATCACATTATGGATAATCTGTCAGTTAATATGCTATTAAATAATCTGTTGGTTCAAATGGAATTGAGCATTTCTTTTCTGAATCTCATTATATTCATAATTTTAAAAGTATGATTCCCAGCCTTGTGAAGTATGGGTAGAATTGTCAATGTACTTGTTCATGTAAGTGTCCATAATGTACTTGGTATAAAGCATTTGCAGAGATCCAGTGCTTGAGATTTTTATAAGTGTATTGATTTTTCATAACACCTTTATGGATTTGGATATACTGAGCAGGGAAGATAAAAGTTTGCCTAATTTTTCTGTTATTTTTAGAGCTGATTTAAAAAAGTCATAGTTGTATAGTTAAAGTAGGTAATACCCTGATATTTAACAGTTCATAGTTCAAGGGGGCAAATTCTTAAACATTTATTAACGCTTTATACTTCTTTTCATACTGTTTTACATGCAACATAGCTTATTTAGTTCACAGAAGTGATCGTTACTCAAAGTGAAAACAAACAGCATATTCTTTCTTACTTTCCCTTTCACTTTTGTATTATATCCAATAATTCCTTTTAAATTTTGCTTTCTATCAGATCATTTTAATGACTTTTAAGGAATGTTAAAGTACTTATTAATTTATTCATTAAATTTCTTATTAAGGAATGTAATAAAGATTTAATAAATGGCCTAAAACAATTTGTGAAATTAAATTCACTTTATTTATTTCACATTTCAGTATTACTGCATACATGGTGTTTACACCACTAGGCTCAGTGAGGGCTTCATGATTAAACTGGAAGAAAGTCATTGCCTTTAATAATCTTATGAAAAAAGATGAATACAAGTAACTCTATTGCAATGTTGAGTCTGATGAGCTCATAAGAAGGAACCAAGTAAATGATAGGATACTGACACAAAAAGATTTCTAGAAAGATAATTCTCTGTTTCATACCACTACATCCCCTATATGCCTGCTGGAAATCCTGGCCAAAGTGAAGGGACATTTTCTGACCTTCTCATGTGGCACAGTTATCTACTCTGGTTAGAGTTCAGCCCTTTCTAAATCTCAATTAAGTCAACCAACATACAGCACTAAAGGACTTTTTAATATACCTCTACATTTCCTGATTTAGCCAGGCTGAGTTTTGGAGATAAACTCTCAAGATATATAATTTTCAACCACAATGTCCAGTGCTAAAGCACCATTCTAGGTGGGCAAGCATTCATTGTTATAGTATGATAACATGACCCTGGTTTCTCTACAGGTCTACCTATCACGTGATCAAGCCAACTTCCTCCTAGGTGCAAGCTCACCTAGAATGTTGAGAGGCTGGTGCTTTGTATCAGTATTTCTCATTTAATGTAGCCAGGTAGTCTGTAATTACCCTGTGTGACTTGTTATTGTCATTTAATAATCATAGTTCTACAAACTGAGACTATTAATTTGGCTTTTTCCATATCTGTATCTTTTATGATTTAAAATACTGCCTTAAATCAAGATTTGAAATTTTTTTAAAATTCTGAAGTTTTGTTATTCCTTTGTTAATTTTTCATAGGAAATGTATTAATCAGGTTGCAGAAGGATTATTCTGTAGTTTACAGTGTAAATACATTTGTTTTGGAACTTTTGACTATAGAACAAAGAACCCTTAAAGATTTAGAGAAATAATTTCTTTTTAAAAATACTACATTGTACTCTGGTGCTTAGAGTTTACCTACCCATCTTAGTCAATAAAAAGCGTGTACATATTTTAACATACTTTTCACTTGTTTTTTAAGTAAAAGATAAATTTAAAAAACTAAAAAGAGCTGAATCCCAAAGTAAAAATAAGATGTTATATAGATTGTCATGACAAAATTTCCACATAATGCATTATTTTCAGTGGATACATTTTTATGGGTCTGACAATTTTGCTGAAATCGTCAATGACTTCTTTAGGTAAGAGAAATATTAATATTCTTAGAGAATAACTTTGAACAATGATGTGTGATTTTAACTTTGCTATGGATAAAAAGTCCCCAAATGCCAAAGGACCATAAAGACCTGACTTAAATCTCTACTTTCTCATGAAAAGGAATCTTGCTTGGTTTATTTCTGAATGCTCTTTGGAGTGATGGCATGGAAGATAGGTAGCCATACATCCTGTGTCAGTGTGTATGATCCTGTGAGTTTACATGGCAGACATTTACCACATGAGTTTATTCCATTTTTAGAGATAGCCAAATGAATAGGGCAAAATCTGTCTTTGTTAAATGTGTAGCCTGATATGGTTTCAAAATGGACAGACTAGGGTCACATTTTGAACTAAAGAAGATTCAGAGTAATTCTCTGACTAGCAAATGCAGCTATTGCTGTGTTGAGCTGTGCAGGTGAGAAAAGTGCAAGGGGAAACATGGTAAAAGATAAAATACATTTACATAGAGAAATTTTATATTTTCTCAGTAGAAAAGAAAAACATCACAAGTGTACATTGCATAGCTTCATTAATGGTCTAGAATAAGACAGCAAACAGCCTTTAATTGGACTCTATGTGACTCTAAGTTAAGAGTAAATATCATCACCAAGGACAGAGAAGTGATGGTACACAAAAGTAAAAAAGAAAAAGTCATATCGAGTCTGGAAAGAAGCAGCCCGCATTCATAAAGTGAACTTGTGCGCCTCATAGAGGACCTCTAGTTTATCAAGCACACATAAAAAATTATTCCCAATAATATCTGTGTGGTAGAAAAATACACACTGGGAAATGGAGGGACTAAATGGTACCTACATCTGGCTATATTTATGACAAGAAATAGGGAAAGAAGAAAGTAAAGTAACCCAACTTCTAGTTGCAGTGCCTTGACACCCAATGTAATTCAAATTCTCATTCCAAATAAAATATATAATCCACCTAAAATATTTTGATAAGGTGGTTTTTGTATTATAGATGAGACATTTTAGAAGATGCATTCAGCTTTTCTCCTCCTTATGAGAGAGATGAGTTGGCTTTTACATCCCTATGTGGACAGCTTGTGGATTTTTCATCAGCTCCTTTTCTATCCATGGGTGTGGAATCTCTACTCAGCTGCTTTAACCTGAGAGAAAGATCTGGCTTTCACTTTGTTTAGAAAATACAGGGCAAGATGGTTTTAATTGCTCTACTGTGGTACTTGAGTCTAGCTCTTTCTGTCCACTCATGCCCTAAAGTATGGAGCAGCTGGCTCTACAGCTATGAGCAGGTTCTGGGACTATCTTCCCATGAGGCAGACTAAAATCTTGCCAAAGGAATACAGAGAGCAGGTGGGGTTATTTATTTATTTGTTTGTTTGTTTGTTTTTGGTTTTGCTTCATTCCTTCATTGCCAGATTCTTTGCTGGAAAATTGAAGGAAAAAACTGCATTCACCATGAAAAATTTACTTCTCCGTTAATCTAATTGTTTATCCTTCTTTCTAATTTCAGAAAGAGAGCATTTTGAGTTTCTAAAAAAAATAGTCATTTAAACAAGTATTTATACCTTACCTTCTCTGAAATATCAGATATAAAATTTGTTTCTTCATCTCCCTTGAAAGGTTACATTCATTCAGTATGACCAGAAGTGCTGCTAGTTAACTATCTTGTCATCAGACAATCTGCTGCCCTCAGCAGCTGAAATGAAATTTATACCAGGTGGTGTTTGTTTTGACTTCCTTGATACAACATCTATCCATTTACCCTTGCTCCTGCTCACACACTTCATTCCTGTGACTAGCCATTCAAAACTCCTCAGTGTACGAATGAACTTTCAAACTTTCTTTCATTCCTACAACTATGGAACGAAACTTGAACCTACCATCATAACAAATGATAGAAAATATTAATGAAAGAAAACTTTGGTTCAAGATGGACTAACAGGACCACAATATCAATTGTGTAATTCTAGAAAATATTTAAACAGGTGGAATTCTATGTGAATGACCTTTTCCTAAACAAGAAGAAGAAAATCCATTGGGAAGTCAATACTCATTTGGATTTATTTGCCTGTATTACTTACACTCAGATTGTTTATTGCTGAACTGAATCTAATATAATGACATTCATCCATGGGATGGTAATTAGATCTAAAAGAAATAGTGAAAATACTTAGGACTCCAAGAAATGTCATGGTAATATTTCATTGTGCATATAATTATTTTTTTGATTGGTCTTGATGAGTCCAACCACATGGAGAATGAAAGCAGGTGCAGTTATGGTTTAAAGCACTAACATTATTCCTTTGCTTTGTCAGATGTGTTGTAGAAGACAAGAACTCGAAAGTGGCCTGGTTGAACCGTTCTGGCATCATTTTCGCTGGACATGACAAATGGTCTCTGGATCCCCGGGTTGAGCTGGAGAAACGCCATTCTCTGGAATACAGCCTCCGAATCCAGAAAGTGGATGTCTATGATGAGGGTTCCTACACATGCTCGGTTCAGACACAGCATGAGCCCAAGACCTCCCAAGTTTACTTGATCGTGCAAGGTAAGAAAAAGGTAGGCTAAGTGGATAGTAAGGTGAAAGATGGAGGTCAGAAGTAATCACAATGGAGGAAATATTTGCAAAATCCTTTCTGAAAAGCAGAGGCTTCAGAATATATTATTTCACTTAGGTGTCTATTTTCTCCTTAGAATAGAGACTTAAAATAAGAAGACTGAGTAGAGAGTGCCCTTGCCATTGTGAATCAGCACTTTGGTGAAAATGTTGTCTCCTAACTCTGAGTTTGAAAACAGAAATAAGAACACAGAGTCCTTAGAACCATAGGAATCTCACATTCCCAAACTTCTGGGACAATTTGCTGAATTTAGGAAAGTTTGGTGTATCTGCTCTTGTACTAAAGACAATCAATTATCATCTGTTTTTATGACAGCAGAAGTCTTTTGGGAAAAATAAAAATTCCAGAGGCCAGGATATCTTCTTAGCTGTCCAGATTTCTGTGTTGTTTCTGTCTTCAATAAATAAATAATATTCCTTCTGAGCAAGTCCAGTGACAAGGGTCTACAAAGTCACTGGGGACAAATTGATTCTAGATGGGAGATTCCATCCAGAAGACACATCTGAGTTATGGTTTCATAGAGTGGAAACTCTAAAAGTCATACACATGTCCTCAAACTAAAGCTCTCTTGGGTCTCTTTCCCTATAATTGCAGAATGAAAACAAAGCTGATCAGTTGCACAGATTTTTTGCAACCCAACTCAAACCAGCAGCAGTTTCAATCCATATATCAGGAAAGATCTAAGCACTAACAAATATTAGGGCTCTGCTCATGTATTCTTGATTTACAATTTTATGTAAACTTAATGCAAATTAGGCATGGCCCTAGGGCTCCTGTCAGGATTCCAGTGCAGTCAGTGGTGTGGCAAACTTTGAACGTAGCTTCTATTAATGTGTTATAAAATTGATTATTGCCACATTTAAATTATTGCTCTCCAAGATCTTCTGATTAATAGATTGAAACTGGAATAAAATACTTCAGAGACTGTCTGGTGGTTTAGTCATGTGACCACTATCTTGGTACATTTGCAGTGGCTGACAGCTTCATTTTATTTCGTATAAAAGACATGTCTACTGATTTGTAGAGCTCCAATCACAGCTAACGCATTAGATGCTTTCCTTGCAGTTTAGTGGAGAGTGCTTGGACTTGAAAAGGAGAGATGTTATTCTTTAGAGCTCAGGCAATGCATTTACTATGTAAATATAAGTAGAAATATGTAAATATGTCAAGGGGTTAATTTAGCAGCTCATTCAAAACATGTACAAGTGTACACACACATGCATGCAACCACACACACACACACACACACCGACTCCTACTTCAAAACAGAGAATTTCTACTTGATTCTAAGAAATAGGGAGAAGTGAAGAAGAACTTGTTTACTTATGACTTTTTTAGAACAGATTTTACTTGATGACCAGTTATTGAGAATACATTGTGATTTTCTCCTTTGATTTTTGATCTGTTTTATTCATATATTTCCTTATATTATATTTTACTTGAAAACAAATCTGATTAGTTGTAGGCATTCTACACAATCTTAGTACCTTGAATGCTTTATTGTCATCAGAAAGCTCCTAGAGACCACAATAGCTATTTATTTTGTGTTGTCCTACACTAAATAAAATCAGATAATCGTTCTTTGGTGAGAAAAAGTTGAGAGAAAAGAAGATCATCAAATTTACATTACTTGGTCGAGGTCACACAGAGAGTTCAGGGAGTAGTTGAGAGCTAAGCAGACCTGGAATCAGATTTAAAACACTGCCTCCTGGAATGGAATTTTTTGTTTTGATTTTAAGGACTACTTGAAAGGTTTATGTTTAAGTCTGAACTCCTACAAGAAAAATCTGTTTTGTTTTCTTTTTCATTTGTATACTTTTAACCTACAAACCTGACCATCCCAAGAGGGTTAAAATCAGAACTCAGACCATACTATGTGTACCTTCATGCCATGACAGTGTAGGTGAAGTTTAACTTAGTGTTATGGGCTGGAAAAGAACCAACACAACTGCCAAGTTCTGTTTATTTATTATCTTCTTTAATTCTAATATGTACTACTATGTAGATGTGAACAATTTTAGTATATGTATGAAAAAAGCTTACAGTTCAGAGGCAATAAGGAATTTGTCCAGAGCTCTCTCTAGGCTTAGGACAGGGTTCCAGATCCCTATTTTTCTGATTCAAATTATTATTATTTCTTCTTAACCCTATTACCTTCAAAGACACCATGAGCAACAAAGCCTCTACATATAAGGGAGATGAAGAAAGGATTATGTCTTCCTTGGGTCTGAGTCATCCAGGGAGTCTTTTGGACAGTTACATGCATCTAGAAATTTTGCTGTAGGAGAGATATAACTCCCACCCTGCTAGGTGTCAGATGTGTCGCGTTCATGTTTCTCAGAGTTGAAGAATGAGTTCTAAAGGACAAAGGAGGTTAAAAGTAGGACAAGTGGGATGCCACCAAGGTCATTCCTCTGAGAATGTTTTGTAGGGCAAAGTCACAAGGTGGGTGCAAAGTAGGTCAAACTATAATCATCCAGTAAGATTACAAGGATAGCCACTTAGCCAATATTGATGCACTAGGAAAGCCAGGAAAGTAGCAAGGGCATACAGATGACATCATTAACCTTGGCTTATCTATGACTTGGAAAACAGGAATGTTTTGGAGAAGGAATGAGCCCAGATATTCTGGTCGCCCACCTGGGTCTCTCATGTATATCCAAACTTAATGAACAGAGTAATACCAATTACAGTATAATCTCAAATTTCCATTCATCCCTTATGGAAGTTTGCAAGTCTGCCCACTGGGACTTTAACTTCAAACCCTTGTCTTCTTCAGATGCACTTTCAGCCACAAACCTGAAATCTCCACCTTTCACTGACTTCCTTGACATCCCAGTCCTTCTCTGACCGTACATTAATTTTTGTCTAACTTAGCTGACCATAATAATTTGGTTTTTTTTGCCAGACCATTGAAGCATCTCCCTTTATAACACTCAGCTTTGTGGTTTTCAGGGATCCCATCTATTCATACTCTTTTCACTAATTGCTACTCAGTCCTTTACGTCTACATGATTTTTACCACATCAAGTTTTTGCTTCTAGGCATGGCTTGGCATCCTTCTTTCCCCCACTCCATAGCATCTTCCTTCAAAATGTAAGGGCCTTTTGGATATTTTGTGTAGTGCCTTGATTATGCTTTGTTGTTTTTGCAAATCCATTTTGACAATCTCTCTCTCTCTCTCTCTCTCTCTCTCTCTCTCTCTCTCTCTCTCTCGCCTCTTCCTACACAGTGTAGGCTTGTTTTGAATTCATTATGTAGCTCAGGACTCTAACTCACAGTGATTGTTCTTCCCTAGGCTCTGGAATGCTGGAATTCTAGGGATGTGCCACCACAGCCAGGTTTCTTATCAAATTATTTAATGAACACTTTGCTCTTTTTCATTAGCTAATGGCAAGACTAGCCATAGCTCAAAGGTGCTGTAAGAATCACTAAAGAATAGTGCTTAAGAAAGTGAGCTTTCTTCCCTTTGTGAGAAAGAAAAAAAAAAATGGAACCAAAGTCTATGTAAATAGGAAAGGGTGATGGGGGTGAAGGGCTCATAGGTAATGGGAAAAAAAAATAAGAACTAAGATATGTCATGTTCAGGTACAAACACCCAATGATAAATGTAAATGTATACAATTTATATAAAATGTAACAATTAATATATAAATAAAAATAAAAAAGAAAGTGAGCTTTGCAGTCATGCTGCCTGATTCTAATCTCACTTTTCCTTCATCTTATCTAAATAAACTTGAGGGTAAACCACTTAGATTTTTCAATGCTCAGCTTTGTCATGTGAGATATAGATAACAATTTAAATACTAAATTTCTACTAAATTTATTATAAGGATTAAATTTGATGATCAGCCAGCCTGATGTCTGGAGATCATGATGAGGATGAACATGAAGATGATGATAAGGTTGAAAATGATGACTATGATGATGAAATGAATGCCGCGATGCTATTGCTGCTCTAGTTTTTTTTTTTGTTTTTTTTTTTTTTGGTACCAAGGATTGAACTCAGGACCTTGCACTTGCAAGGCAGGTGCCGGAATCACTGAGCTAAATCCTTGGCCACAACTGCTAGAGTATTTCTGTAAGGCTTACTGTCCTGTGGGGTACTACCCAGAATACAACTGCTGATTTTACTCATAATCTCTTATTCCTTGCAGTTAGCTTAGTCAGTTTTTATTCTAGGCCCCCATGACTGATTTTTCAGTGCCCCTTTTATCAGCTTCTAATCTTTAGCTTTTTTCTTTGGAGTCCGGAAAGCTTATTAGACTAGCATCACTTTAAGTTTTTTCTCACATTTATTAAAGATGTCAGAGTCATAAAAGGCAATTTGTATCAGCCACGTTTAGAGATTTTGTTAAATTTTAGGTGGTGGAATCTCCCCCAGAATTTCTGATTCAGTAAATCTTTGTAGTGCTTGATAATTTGCATTTATAGAAAGTTCTAAAATGGTGCTCATACCATTGGTTATAAGGACTACACTTTGAGAATCACTGTCCCAAAAAGATTTTATATTTGAAAATTATATAAAACAGTGATGTTGTGTAATTTCACCTCCAAATATTCTGATAATTAATCTTACTAACTATGAGACATAGAAGAGATAGAATGACAAGCACCTTAAATTTAATGGCCCAGCTTAGGCCCTTGAAGGCTGCTTAATCCTGGAAAAAGAAATCTGAAAAAAAAAGTGAAACATCTCAACTCTATAAATGTGTTAGTGCTTATATGCTCACCTTTCTTTTGCATCCAACAAAAACATTCTAGATGAATAAATGTATATATTTATTTTACCACATATATTTTTCTATCACATTAGTGACTTCTCAACAGATGAAATATTTTCTCTCTTTGTTGGTTATTCTTCACAGAAAACTTTAAATTTTTGTTAGTTTTTTATACACAAAATATGCTACACAAATATAAATATACA